TTAGACAGAATTTTTTTTCAGTGTCAGAGTAGTTAACAGATGGAATGCATTAGGCAGTGATGTAGTGGAGGCTGACTCCATACACAATTTCAAGTAAAAATATGATAGAGCCCAGTAGGCTCAGGAACCTGTACACCAGTTGATTGACAGTTGAGAGGCGGGACCAAAGAGCCGAAGCTCAACCCCCGCAAGTACAACTAGGTGAGAACAAACACACAAACACTCGCTCTCTCTCACAAAGGCCAGCGATACAAAATTGATGACTGGAATCTCGTGGGACATTTCTGTTTCTGGAAGATCGTAATCGATATCTTGACGGGCTGGAGGAGGATTGGATATCTTGAAGGGTTGGAGGAGGATTGGATATCTTGAAGGGCTGGAGGATTGGATATCTTGAAGGGCTGGAGGAGGATTGGATATCTTGAAGGGCTGGAGGAGGATTGGATATCTTGAAGGGCTGGAGGAGGATTGGATATCTTGAAGGGCTGGAGGAGGATTGGATATCTTGAAGGGCTGGAGGAGGATTGGATATCTTGAAGGGCTGGAGGAGGATTGGATATCTTGAAGGGCTGGAGGAGGATTGGATATCTTGAAGGGCTGGGTCAAGATCGGATATCTTGAAGGGCTGGGTCAAGATCGGATATCCTGAAGGGCTGAAGCAGGATCGGATATCCTGAAGGGCTGAAGCAGGATCGGATATCCTGAAGGGCTGGGGCAGGATCGGATATCCTGAAGGGCTGGGGCAGGATCGGATATCCTGAAGGGCTGAAGCAGGATCGGATATCCTGAAGGGCTGGAGCAGGATCGGATATCCTGAAGGTCTGGAGCAGGATCGGATATCCTGAAGGTCTGGAGCAGGATCGGATATCCTGAAGGTCTCGAGCAGGATCGGATATCCTGAAGGTCTGGGGCAGGATCGGATATCCTGAAGGGCTGGGGCAGGATCGGATATCCTGAAGGGCTGAAGCAGGATCGGATATCCTGAAGGGCTGGAGCAGGATCGGATATCCTGAAGGGCTGAAGCAGGATCGGATATCCTGAAGGGCTGAAGCAGGATCGGATATCCTGAAGGGCTGAAGCAGGATCGGATATCCTGAAGGGCTGAAGCAGGATCGGATATCCTGAAGGGCTGAAGCAGGATCGGATATCCTGAAGGGCTGAAGCAGGATCGGATATCCTGAAGGGCTGAAGCAGGATCGGATATCCTGAAGGGCTGAAGCAGGATCGGATATCCTGAAGGGCTGGAGGAGGATCGGATATCCTGAAGGGCTGGGGCAGGATCGGATATCCTGAAGGGCTGAAGCAGGATCGGATATCCTGAAGGGCTGAAGCAGGATCGGATATCCTGAAGGGCTGAAGCAGGATCGGATATCCTGAAGGGCTGGAGCAGGATCGGATATCCTGAAGGGCTGAAGCAGGATCGGATATCCTGAAGGGCTGGAGCAGGATCGGATATCCTGAAGGGCTGAAGCAGGATCGGATATCCTGAAGGGCTGGAGCAGGATCGGATATCCTGAAGGGCTGAAGCAGGATCGGATATCCTGAAGGGCTGGAGCAGGATCGGATATCCTGAAGGGCTGAAGCAGGATCGGATATCCTGAAGGGCTGAAGCAGGATCGGATATCCTGAAGGGCTGGGGCAGGATCGGATATCCTGAAGGGCTGGGGCAGGATCGGATATCCTGAAGGGCTGGAGCAGGATCGGATATCCTGAAGGGCTGGAGCAGGATCGGATATCCTGAAGGGCTGAAGCAGGATCGGATATCCTGAAGGGCTGAAGCAGGATCGGATATCCTGAAGGGCTGAAGCAGGATCGGATATCCTGAAGGGCTGAAGCAGGATCGGATATCCTGAAGGGCTGAAGCAGGATCGGATATCCTGAAGGGCTGAAGCAGGATCGGATATCCTGAAGGGCTGAAGCAGGATCGGATATCCTGAAGGGCTGAAGCAGGATCGGATATCCTGAAGGGCTGAAGCAGGATCGGATATCCTGAAGGGCTGAAGCAGGATCGGATATCCTGAAGGGCTGAAGCAGGATCGGATATCCTGAAGGGCTGGAGGAGGATCGGATATCCTGAAGGGCTGGGGCAGGATCGGATATCCTGAAGGGCTGAAGCAGGATCGGATATCCTGAAGGGCTGAAGCAGGATCGGATATCCTGAAGGGCTGAAGCAGGATCGGATATCCTGAAGGGCTGGAGCAGGATCGGATATCCTGAAGGGCTGAAGCAGGATCGGATATCCTGAAGGGCTGGAGCAGGATCGGATATCCTGAAGGGCTGAAGCAGGATCGGATATCCTGAAGGGCTGGAGCAGGATCGGATATCCTGAAGGGCTGAAGCAGGATCGGATATCCTGAAGGGCTGGAGCAGGATCGGATATCCTGAAGGGCTGAAGCAGGATCGGATATCCTGAAGGGCTGAAGCAGGATCGGATATCCTGAAGGGCTGAAGCAGGATCGGATATCCTGAAGGGCTGAAGCAGGATCGGATATCCTGAAGGGCTGGAGCAGGATCGGATATCCTGAAGGGCTGGAGCAGGATCGGATATCCTGAAGGGCTGGGGCAGGATCGGATATCCTGAAGGGCTGAAGCAGGATCGGATATCCTGAAGGGCTGAAGCAGGATCGGATATCCTGAAGGTGGCGCCAGGCACGTGAGGACAACAGTGGCGCCAGACACGTGAGGACAACAGAGGCGCCAGGCACGTGAGGACAACAGTGGCGCCAGACATGTGAGGACAACAGTGGCGCCAGACACGTGAGGACAACAGTGGCGCCAGACACGTGAGGACAACAGTGGCGCCAGACACGTGAGGACAACAGTGGCGCCAGACATGTGAGGACAACAGTGGCGCCAGACATGTGAGGACAACAGTGGCGCCAGGCACGTGAGGACAACAGTGGCGCCAGACATGTGAGGACAACAGTGGCGCCAGACACGTGAGGACAACAGTGGCGCCAGACATGTGAGGACAACAGTGGCGCCAGACATGTGAGGACAAGGTAAATAGAGGTGTTAAGGGCCCTGGTAGGAACCACCATCGCCCGCCACCACAACCTACCATTAACCACAAGAAAAGTGTTCGTTATTTAGTTTGAAGAAGTTCCTTCACCACACTTTATGGACCTTCAGGTCACTCTGGCGAAGCTGTTGACGTCTCAGCAACGAGCTGAAGCTGTGCAAACAAGAAGCTGAAGCTGTGAAACAAACGCCCAGGTTCACGCCCACACAAAGTAACTCCTACACCCTCTGCTCTCCCAACACTATACTCGCCTCGGCCACAACACACACAACCTAACCACAACCTCATTTTAGGTTGTGGCAAAGGCAGAGTTGTGTATGTGTACCAAACTTGTCACAACCTGCTGTCTAAAAAAAACAAATCATCCACTACGGGGCTCACCATAGCCCGTGCTACTTGGAACTTTTTGTTCCAGGTAGCTAATCTTTAACAACAACAATGCTGTCTAAAGTGGTTGTACCTGGCGTGAGTACCGGTGGAGACACAGAGGGTACACGAACAAGGGCACACAGAGGGTACACGAACAAGGGGACACAGAGGGTACACGAACAAGGGGACACAGAGGGTACACGAACAAGGGGACACAGGGTACACGAACAAGGGGACACAGAGGGTACATGAACAAGGGGACACAGAGGGTACACGAACAAGGGGACACAGAGGGTACACGAACAAGGGGACACAGAGGGTACACGAACAAGGGGACACAGAGGGTACACGAACAAGGGGACACAGATGGTAACTGAGTACCCAAATGAGCCTATTAGGAAGAACTTTGTTCCGTGTCAGAGTAGTTAGTAAATGGAATGCATTAGGCAGTGATGTGGTGGAGGCTGACTCCATACACAGTTTCAAGTGTAGATATGATAGAGCCCAATAGGCTCAGGAACCTGTACACCTGTTGATTGATGGTTGAGAGGCGGGACCAAAGAGCCAGAGCTCAACCCCCACAAGCACACCCAGGTGAGTGCACACACATATATGGACACACAGATGAGCATTTTTAGCAATAATGTGGACATTTTTGGCCGCGATAAACCCGGATAAATGGACCAAAAAACGGGAGTCTATGGCAGCCATTATGACCAACCTGACTGTTGGAGCGCAAATATCTCCTCAAGTCTAGTATTTAACCGCTGACACCGCAGTGAGGAGTGCCAACACCCATGTCATCATCAGTGAGTGCCAACACTAGTGAGGAGTGCCAACACTGATGCCATCGTCAGTGAGTGCCAACACTAGTGAGGAGTGCCAACACTGATGCCATCGTCAGTGAGTGCCAACACTAGTGAGGAGTGCCAACACCCATGTCATCATCAGTGAGTGCCAACACTAGTGAGGAGTGCCAACACTGATGTCATCGTCAGTGAGTGCCAACACTAGTGAGGAGTGCCAACACCCATGTCATCATCAGTGAGTGCCAACACTAGTGAGGAGTGCCAACACTGATGTCATCGTCAGTGAGTGCCAACACTAGTGAGGAGTGCCAATACTGATGCCATCGTCAGTGAGTGCCAACACTAGTGAGGAGTGCCAACACTGATGCCATCGTCAGTGAGTGCCAACACTAGTGAGGAGTGCCAACACCCATGTCATCATCAGTGAGTGCCAACACTAGTGAGGAGTGCCAACACTGATGTCATCGTCAGTGAGTGCCAACACTAGTGAGGAGTGCCAACACCCATGTCATCGTCAGTGAGTGCCAACACTAGTGAGGAGTGCCAACACCCATGTCATCATCAGTGAGTGCCAACACTAGTGAGGAGTGCCAACACCCATGTCATCATCAGTGAGTGCCAACACTAGTGAGGAGTGCCAACACCCATGTCATCGTCAGTGAGTGCCAACTCTAGTGAGGAGTGCCAACACTAGTGAGGAGTGCCAACACTAGTGAGGAGTGCCAACACCCATGTCATCATCAGTGAGTGCCAACCTCACTCGCGGACCAAAGTGTCGGTACCAACACATCTGGTGACCACTTAGATGCTAATAACTTAATACCGTCCAAGGAAGCAAACTTACAATTGAAAGAGGATGTAACAGGAGCTATGACTTACACACTCCGAGGTTAAGAGTCCATCAGTGTGTATGTTTAATGTGTTTAAGGTTTGCTAATACATCACAGGTCAGCAGCTCGGCTGTGTATAACAACAGCCAGGTGCCAACGCCACAGTTTACAGATCTAAACAATGCTGATGTAACTCCTCCTGGCGCTAACCCATGGAACGTTCTCGCACTTGCTTATAGTCAATATATTGCTTATGAATAAGTGCATATGTGATATACTAATTTATTGTGAATATTTGAGTTTACCCAGGAACACACACAATGAGTGAGTTAGTCAGGATATATTGGTAGGCTATTGCAACAAAACAATGGTTATCAATGTATTTAGTTTTAGGAAAGACCTGGGTAAATACTGGTTGGGTATAGATTGTTCCACTAAGGTTGAGGAGGATATAGTGACGTTGGGTATTGATCTCCTGTGATTTTATTCATTCTTATGATCAAACGCCAATCTTTAACTATACACTAAAAATTATTATGCACAAATATGCGATCTTTGGCTGGACACACAATATTTCATACTAATAAAGTGATCTTTAACTAGTTACTGAAAATAATAATTCCCGGTAGGGTAAGAATACACTCTGGCTGCCTGTCCCCCGATGCAATGAATTTAGAATTAGAACAAACATTCCTTGACTGGACTCGAAAAAAAATAATAAAAATGTCATATGAATAAGTAATCTTTACTTAAAATAATTTGAATCTTCGCCATACAATAAAATCTTTGAATAGTCACAGATCATAATTGGGAAAAACTTGTGACTGGGAAAAAACATAAGAGACTGGAGCTTACTTTTGGGATAAAGTGTTGACTCATCCACAGTTGACTGGAGGAGCCGGTCGGCCAAGCGGGGAGCACACTGGACTTGTGATCCTGTAGTCCCGGGTTCGATCCCGGACGCTAGAGAGAAACAATGGGCAGAGTTTCTTTCACTCTATGCGCCTGTTACCTAGCAGTAAAATAGGTACCTGGGTGTTAGTCAGCTGTCACGGGCTGCTTCCTGGGGGTGGAGGCCTAGTCGAGGACCGGGCCGCGGGGACACAAAAGCCCCGAAATCATCTCAAGATAACCACAGAAAATTTTGGTACGACAACAAGATGCTCTCGAAAGATAACCAATTGTCGTGCCGTAGTCGTAATATACACTACTCATAGAGTAGTGAGCAGTCACTAATGGAGTCCCACAGGATTCAGTCTTTGAACCTACCTGTTCCCTACTAATCTCTGACCCCTCTAAAGCGGAGGAGAGTGATTTACTGACTGTTCAATAAATCACTGAACTGTATGTATACCACATCTCTCACCCTGTCCATGGAGGACAGAGGAAAATGTATCTATGCTGGTTAGCATTGTAAATGCCCGGCCACGTCTGTGGTAGAAAACAAAAAGTTCCAGAAAATTACGTATTTCTGATTTACCGGAGGACCACTAACCCTAGTGGCCTCGACGAGGACAGGAAGCCGGCGGCTTGTCAATGGTCCCCCCTCTTTTGCTTTCAAGTCCTTGATGTATTCAACATCCAAATTCCCCCCCCCCCCACAGTTCCCCGTCCTCCCCCCCTCCTTCTCCTTCCCCTTTCTATACCTAGAGTCTTCCTGTCCCCAAAGTAGCCTAAGTCCTGCTGTCCCCAAAATCCCACAGCTTGGCACAACAAGGATTACAAATCCTCTTCAAAGGACGCTCGTGACGTCACAGTTAGCGATTATACCTAATCCTACCATGAGTACCATGGTATTAATCCTACCATGAGCACCATGGTATTAATCCTACCATGAGCACCATGGTATTACTCCTACCATGAGTACCATGGTATTAATCCTACCATGAGCACCATGGTATTAATCCTACCATGAGTTCCATGGTATTAATCCTACCATGAGTACCATGGTATTAATCCTACCATGAGTACCATGGTATTAATCCTACCATGAGCACCATGGTACTAATCCTACCATGAGCACCATGGTATTAATCCTACCATGAGCACCATGGTATTAATCCTACCATGAGTACCATGGTATTAATCCTACCATGAGCACCATGGTATTAATCCTACCATGAGCACCATGGTATTAATCCTACCATGAGTACCATGGTATTACTCCTACCATGAGTACCATGGTATTAATCCTACCATGAGTACCATGGTATTAATCCTACCATGAGTACCATGGTATTAATCCTACCATGAGTACCATGGTATTAATCCTACCATGAGTACCATGGTATTAATCCTACCATGAGCACCATGGTACTAATCCTACCATGAGCACCATGGTATTAATCCTACCATGAGTACCATGGTATTAATCCTACCATGAGCACCATGGTATTAATCCTACCATGAGTACCATGGTATTAATCCTACCATGAGCACCATGGTACTAATCCTACCATGAGTACCATGGTATTAATCCTACCATGAGCACCATGGTACTAATCCTACCATGAGCCCCATGGTACTAATCCTACCATGAGTACCATGGTATTAATCCTACCATGAGCACCATGGTATTAATCCTACCATGAGTACCATGGTATTAATCCTACCATGAGCACCATGGTACTAATCCTACCATGAGTACCATGGTATTAATCCTACCATGAGCACCATGGTACTAATCCTACCATGAGTACCA